AGTTTCTCACAAACACAGTCCCAGCAGAAACCCTTCCACAACTCCCGCTGTGCTGGAGAGAACTTCCTTCTGGCCCAGCATTAGTGAGCAGAGCTTGTGCTGAAGGAGGCTTTGGCACAACAGCATCTTGTCTGCATGACTCGTGGATGGTTATAAAAGTGACTTTTTCCCCTATTGCTGACACTGGAGGAAACTTAGGCAGGCAGCCTTGCTGAGAAAATTGCTCCCTCCCATTTTCTGCCCTCTTCAGAGACTTCTTGTCAATCAGAAATACTTACGTGTGGTCTCGTGCTTAAAAATACACCCAAATGACCATTGAATGCATTTCTCTAAAATGGAGATAAGAGGCTGAGGGCTCAGGAAAATACCGTTTCTTTTTTTTCCTGCTGGAATCAGGAAAGCTGTCCGGCAACAAATCCTTTCGGGAACGTACAGCTCTTGCTAAGGGGCACCGGGTGAAACTGCAGGATGGAGAAATCCAGCGCTGTGTGGTGAGAGGTCAAAGGTAGAAGCCTGATGGCTCTTCTCATCTCTCCCCTTTTGGAGGTGGTTATTTCTGACTTACACTGAGATGAGCACGGGGTTAAGTCAATGAAATTACTGAATGAAAAGCCACAATTTTACAGAGCATGTGCAACCCAACCACTCTGGTACAACAAATCCCATACACGCTGGAATTATCATGAAAATAGTGTCTTTAATATACAGTTTATATACTTACAATACGCAGTTTAGATTTGTTCATATACATTAAAAGGAAATTTATTTGCACCTGGTTTAAATAACAATCCGCCTTCAGCCTCTTACACAAACGCCCAGAAGAGCACAGAGTTTCCACAAAACCATGCTTCGTTTCGTAACGGAAATGCACTAAGCTGAAGTTTGAGAGTTCTTTTTTCTTCTTCTTTTTTCTTTTCCCCAAATGTTACTTCTTTTGACCTACCCAAAGTGAATCTAAAGAGCTAAGAACTAACATTACTTTTAACATACTTCAGGAGATTGTCCAAGTCAAGAGAATCACTCTGTAGATTTTTGCTCTGAAAATTTGGTTATTATGCACAGAAATAGTAAAATCTGAGCAACTCCTGGATGAACAGGAGTTTAAGACATAACAAACAAAGAATCATTTATTGCTAGGTCTCAACAAGGAGCCTGAATTTCCATCCTGCCCCGATGCCCCTAACAACGCAACTAAAAGCATTGCTTGGATTACCTTTTCATTCCTACCTTCCACTCTGCACACGGTTGCACTGCAGATTTTGGACATCGAGGAGACGAGGCAGGGGAGCGTGCTCAGCCCTCACCCTGACCTGCTTTGAGGCAGTCTGGCCCCTGGCCCCTGCATACAACTGCTTGGTGCCAGCACGCTTTATGGAGCAGGGAGGCAACTCCAGGAGTCAGTTCAAGAAGAAAACAGGAGAAAACACTTCAAGTATTTACAGACAGATTGGAAGTATGCTGTTTTTGAAACTGTATTGCTATTTACACTGTTTTTTTTTTCTTGAAGCTGTTGTGGAATGAAGTCAGCTAAAGTGGCAAATAAAACTGTTGTATTGGGAAAAAAAAAAAAAAAAAGCATGATGCAGATTTACTTCAAACCCATGCTTCTAGCGGCAAGAACACTTCAAAACACATTTTCCTTGTAAATTTGGAGGGACCAAATGCTTTCTGTCTCCAAATTTCTAGCTGTGGGCAATTTTTACAATACAACAAGAAGGCAAATATGCATTTTCAGTTGATTTCAATACAACTTTGGTTAGCCAGCCAGGCAGCAATACAAAGCTGCAAAGAAGCCCTGTGGGGAAGGTCTCAGCCCTGCAGAGGGCTTGGGCATCCTGGTGGATGAAAAGCTGGACATGAGCTCGCAGTGAGCTCTTGCAGCCCAGAACAACGGTATCCTGGGCTCCACCAAAAGAGGGGTGGCCAGCAGGGAGAGGAGGGGATTGTCTCCCTCTGTCTGCCCTTGTGAGGCCCCACCTGAAGTAGTATGTCCAGGCCCAGAGCCTCCAGCACAAGAAGAATGCAAAACTGTTGCAGTGGGTCCAGAGTATTGCCACAAGATGATCAGAGGGCTGAAGCAACTCTCCTACGAACAAAGGTTGAGAGAGTTGGGCTTGTTCAGCTTGAAGAAGAGAAGGCTCCAGGGAGTCCTCATTGCAGCCTTCCAGTACCTGACAGGTGCTTACAAGCAGGAAGGGAACAAATTTTTACACGGTCTGACAGTGACAGGACAAGAGGTAATGGCTTTAAACTAAAAGACAGGAAATTTAGGCTAGCTGATGGGAAGAATTCTTTACTCAGAGGGACACTGGAACACGTTGCCCAGAGAGGTTGCAGATGCTCCATCCCTTGAGATGCTCAAGGCCAGGTTGGAAGGAGGACCCGGGCAGCTGAGCTGATGGGTGGCAGCCCTGCCCATGGCAGCGGGGTTGGAACTAGGTGATCTTTAAGGTTTCACTCCAACCTAATCCGTTCTGTGATTCTACGATGAAGAATCTCAATCCTAGGCACAGTGAGTGTTTAAAGGAAAGCATTTCCTCTCAAGCTTTCTCCAATCCCTCCTCTTGCCAATTCTGTTTCCATTCTGGAGAAGCACCTGTGCTAGACTGAAATTTTCACAGCTGAAGGCAGCATCAATGCTTTGCCACATGAATACTGCATAGAAAGGATTAATTTCCCAGAGCAGAGTCAAAAGACAATTCCATACATAATGAGAGGCCAGAATTTTTGCTGCCAAAATCCCTAGACAAACAACATCCTCAATGATAGCACACTACTGCAGACTCCACTAGCTAAATAAGCATCAGAGGCCTTGAATTTAAATAACAGGAGAAAGGAAACCCAAAGTTAGGACTGGCCAATATTAGCAAAGCATCTCCAAAAAGTTTTACTTTAGGCCCCCTCTGACATGACATGCATTCTCTGCATTCAATAGCTCCCTTGCTATTAGCAGATAAAATGGACCAGAATTCAATCTTGGATCCCAGCACACCTCACATCAGCCTGGTCAAAGTCCAGACCAAGAGACCAACTCTGCTGCCCCCCAGATGATGGCTCGACTTCACCCACCTTGCTTCCTGGGAACAGTCACTGCTTCCTCAGAGCTAGGCCTGCACCAGAGCCATACATGTGCCCAGGCCAAGGGCACAGCTCAAGGGGCCCAGATTCCAGCACTGCTCAGGTTCCCAGTACAGACGTAAGTGAATGCACAGTTAGACCTTGGGGCCAGTTAGAAAGCAGTGAGTGGTGAGGAAAGGAGCTAGTACCTCTTGCCAATGACAAACTGGAGTCTTTAATACCATCATGAAACTCAGTGGTATTCAACAAATCTGGCTAACACTAGTCTGCATCCTATTTAAGCTCAAAAACACATCAGCAACATGCACATGTGCATGAGTCATTAAATGTCTCCTAAATCATACCACACCTTTAAACACACAAAGCATACCTGCTGCGAACAACACAAGGCGACCAACCAGCTCAGGAGGAAATGAGATTCTGTGGGCATCAGCACTGCCCTATGCTGGCTGCTACATCTAAGTCCAAGCAAGTCATGACACCCCAGCTGTACAATTTGCAATTTGCTCTCCTGATTTCACCAGCACAGACGCTTCTACTCTGCTTGGGCATGCACACAGTGGCTCGATCCTGCAGTCCTCTTATTTACACAAAGGTTAGCAATGCATGAATTGCTATAAAAGGTTTGGAAAGTGAAGGTGATGGGCTGCTCTGGGCTACAGTAAAGGTCAAATGCTAACATATTATGCATAAAAATAAGTAAGCAGTGCTAAGCTAGAATAAGACAACTGGCAGGACATCAGTAGCAAGTTTGCAATTAAGAGGTTTTAGCTGTACTTTTGTACATAAGATCTGCTTCTGAAATCACTGCACATTTCTGCACCTTTCTACAGGCCAGTTCTATTCTGGTCTATGCATACATTATGTTAATGCAGCAAACTTATGAATGCAGATTCCATCACACTCATTTTGTAAGGAAAAAAAAAAAAACAACACAAAAAACATTCCAAGCAGGTAAGCACGGAAACATGGTATATATCCATCTGTAGTCAAAGAACACTATTTTCCCAGGGATGGCAACTTGCAGAAATATTTAACCTCAAGATTGCAGTTCCAAGGAGAGAGAGACCACACACTTTTTCATCCACAATTAACAAGCCAAGCAATAACAAAGAGAGGTACTGGATATTTAAAATTTGCCCCTTTAACAAATGAATGTTCTTTTGACATAATGAGGGTCAAAACCAGCTGATTTGAATTTGCTTGTGCCTACCAACAAGCACACGTATCTGACCGTTACTCTAATTTAATCCAGTCTTAACTGCAGTTAAAATATTTTAGGACACTAATTAAAATGCATTCAGAAGTTACCGATCTGTTCTAAAAGTCAATACATTAACACAGAAGAGTAAGATCATGAATTCTTGGGTTTTTCTATAGGGATATGTTTTGGCTCACTGCCTTCTGGTACCCACATTTAGTTGGGCCTTACTCTCTGGTTAGAAACTGATGGTTTCTATTATTGCAGGACAAACGATGCGTCTTGGCTTCAGTATGGAAACATGACTTAAAATTTGCCCAGGCAACAGAAAGCTTCCTTTGCAAATATGTTTGTTTTAATGAGTCTGTTTTGTTGAGGAAAAAAAGGCAAAACGAGCCTCCCATTTTTGCTCTCAAGATGTGCCTTGAAAGATGCTCTTTGTCCTTCAGAAAGGACAGAGAGGCAGTTGTCAACCCTTTCAACTGCAGGACAAGGGGAAATTTTAGTGTTTTAAGAGGGGAGATTTAGGTTGGATGTCAGGGGGAAATTCTTTACCCAGAGAGTGGTGAGGTGCTGGAACAGGCTGCCCAGAGAGGCTGTGGATGCCCCGTCCCTGGAGGTGTTCAAGGCCAGATTGGGTGGGGCCCTGGGCAGCCTGGTCTGGTATTACATGGGGAGGTTGGTGGCCCTGCCTGTGGCTGGGGGTTGGAGATTCAAGATCCTTGAGGTCCCTTCCAACTCTGGCCATTGTGTGATTCTGTGATGGTCACTCCATGCAGCGCTCTGCTCTGTGGCTGGTGAAGCTGCTCCAGATTCTCTGGCTCTGACTGCCAGAAGGTACTGGACACGCAGCATTGAGGATGGGCTCTACAGGCTTTCCTGAGGACAAATCCTTCCTTCATGACTATGAAGGCAGGGGGACCTCGGGACCTTGGAGTTATTTAGACATTTTTTAGAGCTCTGCCAATGACAAGAACTCAGCAATGGACTACCAATAATGAATCCTACTTCTGACTTCCCACACTTCAATTCAAAAGGTGGCCAGGGGCAGCCTTATGCCTCCTTCCCATCTCTGAGCTCACTTTTGGCTGCTACTTTTGCCTGGCATCTATTGCCGCAAGTTTTTGTAACCAGGCAGTTGAGTTTGCACATCTCAATGAAGCTACTGTCCCTTCCACTTCGACATTCACATTTTCCTAGCCCACTGCAAGTGAAACAGCTGAACTTAAGCACTGCAAGCATTTCCTGAGGCATGGCCCAAACTCTCACTGGGCCCCTTCTTATCTGCGTGGCAGGCACTGCTCCTGGTTCTTTGCACCTCACCAATGTTTTATTTCAAAGGCATCCTGCTGTACTATCACCTTCCCACACAGATCTGACTCCAAGAATAGCACAGCACATTTTCAGATGATGGTAACAACAACAGAGGAAACGTAATGGGTTTCCCTCAGGGCAGAGCAAGGTAAATGGAAGGGCTGAGCTACCAGGCTGCTCAGACTGTCCTTGTGGCTGTGAGGGGCTGGAGCCACTGAGGACAGGGTTTGTGTAGGGAGCTGCATTTCACATAGGAAAGCTGCATGACCCAAACTTGTGCCACTGACTGCAGCTATCTGACTACAAAAGCAACTTTTGAAATCTACAGGTCATAAACTTTTAGTTGGCCAGGTCAGAGCGGCTCAGTAGGAAAATCCCCCTTCTTCCTTCCCTTTGGGCACTAAGCTAAGCAAGCTCTTTTCTCTGAAAGTGAGGTGGAAAACATACCCACAATTATAGGTAGTCATGAAGACACTGTTAATAAAAACAAGCTGCAAGAGTAGTGTATTAGTGGCACTTCACAGCAATTCTTAACATTTTCAGATGTAGTGTCAAAACCACGTTTTTCTATCTCTGACCACGCTTACTGTTAGCAGAAAAGGAAAAAAAAAATCACAGCATGTTGTCAAATATTATTTGAAGAAATACTCCCATAAGAAATACATTTTTTTGCAGTTAACTCAAAACTGTAAACTGGATTGGTGTGTGTGTGTGTCTTTCAGCATCAAATTGTTCAGTAATAAATATGACTAAGTCTTAATAGAGTACAGAGTGAAAGTTCCCTTAGTGTCCAGTTTTTAGCAGCTGTTGAACATTCAGGGATGCACAAGGCACACCTCTGCAGATTCTCTACCATTATTATTGACATACAAAAAAAAACCCCACCGTTCACCACTCAAAAACTTCTATCTGCATAGTTAAGAATTTTTCTATTACTATTTACAGGAAGGGCTCTTAGTGCAAAAAACAGGAAGTGATGTATTAGCTGAAGTGCCTCTAGCACACCTCATACAGTTCCACTGAAAACTAGTCAGCATCACATCTTGGGCCGCCAGCCATTAATGAACTGTAGTATTTTCTTAACCTGCAATTTGCTTAGCTTAAAGTCTTCTGACAGGATTTCTTCCGTTAGCTGAACCAGTAAATTGCCATCAATCTTCTCTGTAACAAAAAATGAGATGACATCTTCAGACAGACCAATAAACCTCAGCGATTTAGACACTTCCTCTATTGAGAGTCCAGAAAGGTCTGTGGGTGGCTGCCAGGGAGAGCCATCCCCACAAGACCTTGGCGCTAACTGAAGGTGGAGGGGAGATGAGAAGGGATAAGACACAGAGAATGTATCTTGCATGCCCTTTTTAACCAGATATTGATCTTCCAGGAGGTCTGGAGAATCCGTTTTTGATTCTTCCTCGGCACCATCTATTTTTAGTGGCAAAGTACACATGTCTGTAACTTGTTTCTCTTCGCTTGACTTTGGTGCCCGAGGAGGTAAGGCAGGACATGAATGACTCTGCTTTGCATTGCTGTCTCCCAGAGTTTTCTCATCAGTGCTGCCTAGAGAGTAACTTGCTGACTTCGGGCAGCTGGAGATGTTGAACTCTGCTGGGGACAGCTGGGAGTACCCCGCAGAGAGCTCACACCCATCGAAGTCAAAAGTCAAAGGTGCTGGGCAGTTCCTCTTTGGCGTGCCTGGAGTCTTCTGTCTGGGGTAACTGTAGCTCCTGCTTGGATCGAGCAGGAAATCACTCCTATTCTGGCCTTCCATAGCTCCTGAAAAATGGTTCGGCCAAGATAATCTGGAAGGCAGAGCTTCAATTGAGGGGCTTCCAAAAGGCATTGTGTTCTCAGGCTCTTTGGATTCAGTTTTCATCATGGTGCAAGGGTAGCATGAAACAGGTGTGCTGCTCTCAGCTGGGTTCGTGCTGTCACTCTCTGTGACGCTGCTTAAGGAACAAAGCAGAAAGGATTTGGTTAGCACCAAAGTAAAACGTGAATAAATACATTAATCATCATACAAAATCAGAAAGTTGTTGTTGTAAGGAAACAATCTTTTTTTCTGCTGTCAGAATGTTTCAGATTTCAATTAACAATACAAACGTAGACGGTTCTTTTCTACAAGCCAGATGAGATGCTGATATACCCCAAAGCCTCACGAGATAGATTCATGTTTTGCTTCTTTAAGCTCAGAAAAAAAAAAACAACAAACAGATGTCTCAATTCTGTTTTGTGTCATCTCCCAAATATTCAGATTTTCACTGTTAAATTCCTGAGGAACATCATCATGGTAAACGAATAGCTTCATGCATACTAGAGGATTTTCTAATCCTGTCTTTTATTTTTAAACACCACAGATGTGTTACAGTATGTAAAAACTCGTAACAGAGGCAGGTCACCACTGCAGTAGTTACAACCTTGGTAGACATAAGAGATGATCAAAAGCCCTTTTGGGGCCAGTATTTTCATTTGCTATGGCACTGCACCAGCGTACAGTACAATAACATGGAACAAATTATTGCTTACTGCCAAAGGAAGATTTTTACCTGGAAGGGTAAGTAGAGAGAGCTGTATTCATTGAAATACCAGATTTTAAACTTAAGCCACAGTAAACTGCTTATTCATATCTTTAAAAAGTTCTGACATAAAGCCCTTGCTTTTCAAAGGCACCTAAAGAAAAGTTATCCTGACCTACTTCCAGGCAGTAAATCAAACTCAGCCTGTCCAAGGAAACTGACTGTTTATATCCAGGCCTTTCCAAAAGACTGAGATGCTAACAAATACATACAATCTGTTACCAGAAGTGAATGTTCTCTGCTTTTATGCCACTTTCTAAAAGAGAGTCTGAAGGATTTGGCTGATGTTCGGAATTCTGGCCAATTAAGCTAGAACACTGCAAAAACAATTAGCAGACTTATAAAATCCTTACCTAATACAGCAGAGGGAAACCAACAGTTGAAATAATTGTTTTAATTACTCACCTCTCTCTTAGAAACTAATTACTCAAGAAAGAAAATAGGCAGTAATTCTGTGGCAGCTCAATGAAAACTGTTTGAGGAGGGAGACAGCTTCTGAATAGGCCACAGTTCTGAATAGATTGCCACAAAAAAATTACTTCCCATGTACTTACAGCGAGTTAAAAAGGAAGCCAACCTAGACTTGCTTAGCAAAAAGTAGATGCATAAATGCAGTTCTAATCTACATCACTGAAAAATCACAGTTCCCTCAGTTTCCCTCTCTGACAACTTGCTCTCCCACTCAGTGATCTCCAAATATTTGTTTTTTTTTTTTTTTTCCCTGCACAAAACTGCCAGTAAAAACAGTTGGATTATAACAATGCCACACTTAAAAAAAACAAAACAACAACAAAAACAAAAAATACCACTCTCATCAAGGATATACCTTCAACTGGTCAATTTACTCAAAAACATTTTTCCAAAAATCAAGACACTGGGCTGTCTAATTCAGAGTAGACAGTCAACAAGCTGTTATGAACAACTGACCATACAGAGGAATTACACTGACTGATCCTGCTTCTGTTCTCTAATCCAATGTTAGAAATAGGAACATTTAAAAGATTAACATTTTAGAAGTTCAAAAGATTAACAGAATTAACAAAAACTGATAAAATATTCACAAACCATTTCCTCATACTGCACTAAAATTAACCTGCCGAGGCTCAGAGCCAGAGGATGCGAGAAAAACCTCCAAATTACAGGGTTTAATAGGCCAAAAAGGAGAAATCATATTGTTCTTTTTTGTTGAAAAACTAGTTGCAACCCTTTAAGATCCAGAAAATAAGATAAAAATGTCAAAACTTGAAAAGTAACTTCACCAGAAATCTGGTTACTCCACATGATGTCTACTTTCCACCTGCTTCCTCAGCAGCTCCAGATCAATGACACCAAATTGGAGATACCCGGTATGGACCCAAGATGTACATTAATTTCATGTGAATTTCCAGGCAAAAAAGTCACCTGCATGAGAAACTACTCATTGTTTTCTTGCTTTCTTGGGAGACAGATGCGTTGTTAGCTATCAAGAAAGAAAACAGCATTTGATGGGCCCCAAATTCTGGGAGGTCTTGTGCTTAATCTCCTACAGAGTAGACTTTTATAGATCTATCCAATAGGCTTCCAGAAAAATAAATGACAAGCCTTGATCTAGAGCGATCATTGCCAGGTACACAACACTTAGCTGAAAATGTGCAGTATGGCTTAGAAAGGCAACTCCAGGAATTATTATACCATTGCACCTAGACAGAACCAATTTCAGCGGCAGTTCTGATCAATCCATAATACCCAGGCAGTACCTTGGAACTTTCTTAGCAACAAAGCTGAAGAGGTACAAAAGAATCATGACATCCAAGTAAAAAAGGAGGTGAAGTTTCAAACGACATACACAGTTTCTAAAGCCAAAGGAAGAACATTGCATTGCAAAGAAAAGGTATGCAGCCAGGAAGTTCAAAATCCAATGTCAACTTCTGACTAGCCTAAACAGATTTTCCAGTCTGTGGTTTAAGTTTGTGCTGAAGTGGGTTTGATCCACAAGCTGCCTGGATCCATTCTGCCTTTTCCTCACTTCATGCTCAGTGGCGTCTTCCAGCTTCACTGCTTTCCATCATACTCACCTGTAGGTTCACATTTGGTTGGCACAAAACATTTCCGGATTACCACACCCTTCTATGCCCCCAGTTATCAAGAGCAGGTAGCACTACACGCGTGTGAGACTGAAATTCCACTTGAAAACTAGCTTTGAGATTATCTGGTTTGAAGATTCAAGCCATTTAAGAATTATACAGAACTGCACAGGATTTTCCAGTCAAACAGTCTCTGCCATCTTACGGTGAGATTACCTATAGCAGTAGGTATTTAATACGAATTGCTATGTCCTATATAATAACATACATGTTGTGCAGTCCTGAAGAATAGTAGGACAGAGTAGGGCTAGGAGAGCGCGTCTGCTGTCGTGCAGGTTTGACTGTGCGAGGAGGGATGGAAGGACTAGTGGAAGATGGTTTTGAACTCCGTGGTGGGACAGGGGGAGCGTTCAGGAGCCTGCATTCCTCTTTTACCTGTTAAAAAAAGGACATGTAAGTAAGCAGCCAGAAAACTCGGGCAACAGTGCTCTCCAACAGATGAAACACATCTGCTTCAGGCTTATTCTGTGAAAGGAAATAATTAAAAAGGGAGGGGAAGAGAGAAATGATGCTAAGTATATACATTTGTAACAGTATGTGGCTGTCATAAGAAAGACAGAAGAATGCTTTACTACCAGTAGAGCTACTACCAATCTTTTAGGGGTGCTTTGCAGTAGTTTGAGATCCACTCATTTATAAGAAGGAACAATGAAACCATATAAAAGAACCTTCCTAACGAAAACAAAACCAGACAGACTGTTCCAGATATTTTATATTCTGTAAGAAGCAATTCATTAGAATCAAACTCCATTAGTGTTGTTTATTTAGATGTAATAAACCAAGCTTATGTAATGAAAAGATCTCAGCAAATCTCGATGTTTCCTGACTTACTTCACCAGTGATACTCACCATCCAGTTCCAGGATAATTCCCCGCTTCCTCCCTCAAGGAACAGTATACATATTGTAGATTTACCAGATGCACCCAGGACACATCTATCTGCAGGAAAGCACTGAACAGAAATGACCTTGGTGGCCACCGCTCCGTCTTTTCCTGGGGGCTACCCAGCAGAGGCCACAGCACCACTGGCCATGCTCCTTCTCCTCAGTATATTTCATGGTGTACATACTTCTAATGCCAGACTTGATAAGGCAGATATGCGGAGTGTTTTTCAATAGATAAATTATAAACAAAAAATCCCCTTCCCTCCTTTTTTTCTCTCCATCCTGTGTGTACAAACTATGAATGGACCACAACCTGGGTTCAGACTGGGAGACTGGAATGCTCTAGCTATCTGAATGCTGGAATTAAAATATGGAGCTTCAGTCCTTATGTCAAAGTAGTCCAGGCTACGGTTAACTACAAAATGTATAAGGTAGAAAGTGCAGAGCAGAAAAAGCTGTTAAGATAATGCATCCATGTAAATGCCAAGCAGACCTCTTGTTACCAGCCACACAAATCTTGTTTCTAGGATCAGAGTAGCAGCAGAAAGGTAACGCAAATGAAATGGGTGGGGGACTACAAGGATAGATCTGGGCATAAAGCAAAAACCATTTATGAGTTGTGTTACAAAAATACAGCATGTCTTCTTTAGCCTACGTTTCCTCAGAGCTGACTTTGATATTAAACACTAACAACAAAGCCAACTGGTCTACTCACTGCAGTCAGCTAACTTTGCAGCTTAAAACACATGACTGTAGCACTGTTTACATTGATTTAGCTTGGTCCTGCCTAGGGAGGAACAACGTACCAAGATAAAGCTCCATCAGAAAAATGATGGACTAAGACCTTAATCTCATCAAGACATACAAGGGAGAGCAACTTGGTGGGACTAGAGATGTGTGAGGCTGCTGAGAACAAGGCTGCCAGGCAAGCCTTTTGAGGACTCACCACTTCCCCAAGGCAGCAGCAGATCTCCATGTTGTCCTCATTTGAAATCATCTCAGATGCACCAGAATAGGAAAATTCTCTTTGTGTTTCAAACTTAGTTTATTTTTAAATTTACCAACACTGCAGAACTAAAAGTTATCTTAGCAGTTTTGCAACACATAATTAGCAATTAAAGTGATTTAATTTATTTAAAAACAAAATAAATGTGGAACCTTTTGCAATCCACTTCAGTGCATTCAGAATGCAACAACCCATTTAGTACTAAAGTAAAATGGAAAACTGGGGACTGGGACATTGTAGTACATTTTTCCCTAATTCAGAACAAGACAAAATTACAGGAAATGCCTGACAGCATAAAATACTGAAATAAATCTTGCTCTAAGGGTTCTTATTTGCTCTTTCAGAAAAAAAAAGGAATCAATTTTATTCATGTTTGTTATTGAATTCAGGCATAAAACTCTTCAACCATTTTAGTGCTGTGCCCCAAGGATGCATAAGGACTTCATTTTTTTTTTTTTTCCAAGTCAGATTAGGCAAAGTTAATACTGCATGCCATGGAACACACACCCATGGGGGTCAGAGACCATTCAGGGGAGCTCTTAGGGCACAGCAGACAGTCATGAGGTTAAAGAAATTCTTTCCTGGGAAGAACAACAGCATTCAAAGGTACTAGCAGACCTAACTACACCCAGCTCCTCTGCTGACCTAGATTGCAGATCAGAAGTGGGCCGTAAATAATACCAGTTTGCAATCCCAGTTGGTCCCTGTCACAAGACTGCGATTACAGCTGCCAGGCACAGCTCTCGGTAAACACAGCAGAGGAACAAAAAGGAGATTTTGCACATTAAACCGACAGCAGCATGGGGAAACTTCACAGGAGATCTGCGCTCGTGGGGAGAACAGCAATGAAACAGTGCGGGAGAGGAGGGGAAGAGTGGCGGTGTGACACAGCGCCTGCCTTGGTGACTTGCTGCTGTTACACAGAAACACTCTTTCACCCAGCAGCGCTAGATGCCACATGCGTGCCAGGGAGAGATAAAGTGCACTTGCAATGAGAGCCCCGGGACATCTCCTCCCACGCTCAAACACTCCTTCCCATGGTAAGCCTGGTAACGGTGACCCCTTCCTTGCATGAGGCGCTGCAAGGATTTTAGGATGCGCTGCAACTCATCTCTCCTGGGGTGATACCACCCATGCAAGCGGCCCTGGCTGTGGTGCCAACCCAACCCCCCTGCTACCAGCACTGCCACCAGCGTAACGCAGCCTGCAGGAGCACCAGCCTCCGGCATGCTCCATCTGGGCATGCTGTAAATCAATCAGGAAAACAGCCCCTGATATTATGCAAATTAGTGTTCTGGGACCAAAGCAATTTCTGTTTTACAGGACTTAATTCAGAGGTCATTTTCTTTCTCTTTTTCCTTCATGCTACTTTGATTTTCTGAAAGGTATTTAGAAAATACACACTGCATCAGAACATTTTGCCCTGTGGGTGAAAAGAAAGACAGAAGAGCTTCTGAAACACCTGAATGTCCTTTTCTCCTACAACCAGCTCCTACACACACACTTTAAATTTAGTGCATGCAAAAACACAATTGCCTGCCAACCTTTATACAGAAACACTATGGAATATCATTCCAGGGGATGTGATGACTAAACCTCATGTTCACCAGCAGCTACTGAGATCCACTTATTCTATAAATACCCTACATGGAAAGCATGCAAGCATCTCGGCCAGCCTCAGCCCACTGATGAGCTCGGCCGGTCACTGAGACTCATTCCAAAGCTGTTCCAGGAAGCCACAAAACTGATTCTAAATCATTATCCCATCTACAGAGAGGCAATTTTTTATTTTTATTTTTCACGAGGTTACACCCTGCCCAGCTCGAAATGCAACCTAATAGCTTTAGCAGAAATTAGTTCTCCTGCATGGTTAGGAAGCCACGCTGAAAATGCTGACAGCACATGGGTGCATTACCTCAGCCCTGCTATGACGGACATGACAAAAATGCACGCTTTTCAAGCTGATAATAAAAGGCAAAACACACACAGGTCCCCCAGAGGCCATGCTGCTGTCCTCAGAAGGGACTCTACTCCACAAAGGTCCTCGAGGCATGACACAGCGGGGAGGCGTGCCCCTTCCTCTCAGCACCCAGGCCGAGTGGGCCTCAAGGACACGGCATTCCCTTCCCCCTTGGCCCACTGTGACAGCAGTCTTCCTCCTCGCCCTCCCCCTGCCTCGGCTCCAGCTCTGTGCTGAAGCGGTCTGGCTCACAGAAATCAGCAGGAAACTAATCGTTTTCCACATCCAGACCTGGCTCCCTGCCCAGGCACAGGAGTGCCAGAGCCAGCACAAAAGGAAAGCCAAGCCCACGTGGCTGGGAGAGGAGAAGGGTGGGAGCAGCCCCATGCCGGTTTACATTTGTGCAGCTCATCCCGATACAGTGCAGTGGGCACTTCTCCAACACACTTTGGACAAAGCGTCGGTGCAAACCTGACCCTGACAGCAAGGAAGTGCTCATGGGTTCCAGCACTCAGACATAACACGTAAACACTCCTTTTGCTAAGACGACGTAATGTCTTGACTTTCCTGTCTTTGCTGAAGCTGCTGTGGCTGCTTTTTGGGAAAGTTTTGAAGGGCTGCAGTTGTGCTTTTCACACCTGTGCCGGCTTATGCCTTCTCTCTCTCCTCGCAGCACCTCCCTAGTGGCTGCATAGCAGCACATCAATCTACTGAAAGCTGACCCAGCTCAAAGAAATCAATCATAGTTGTCAACCAGGCTGTGATCTGACTCATGATGAAAAGGCTCCTGAAACACTGCTGAGACAGGAAGATGGCAATGGCAGAGAGATCACCACCATGTGCTGCAGTTTGGTCTCGGATGAGCCCCAGCTTGCTGTGCAGCCATGGTTTTGAAAACACTGCTCAATTTGCAAGGACATTTTCCTTAATTAAACTTCATTTTAAAAAAACAGCAAAAATGATTAACTGATTTGTTAAATAATAACATAATCAACTATGTATCACTTAATCTTGCTAAAGTTCCCTAGCCACTCTTCCTTGGGCAAGTTTTCTTTTTTCCTGTTTTTAAAATAAGGTGTAGGACTACCTCAAGAGACCATGCAATGGGTGGACTTTCCATCCAACCCACATAAGCTCCTGTAGGAAAAATGTTTGTAATTTTGTCGCTGAAGTCAATTCAAACAGTTCAGGTTTGGAAAAGTGATTTCTCCCAAGAGTTTTTAACCCTGAGACAGAATTCACTCTATTTAAAACTGAGTCTTCTAAAAGGCTCATTTCTAAACTCTGCTGCAGAGTATATATTTAAGCATGAATTCTTTCAATAAGCACTACCAAAACAGAGCTAAATAATCACTCCGTGAAGTCTGGTTGAAGGTGATGAACCTAATAATCTCCACTCTCACTGAAAATATGAGAAAACAGACCACACGTGGAGAGATGATGTCACCTGAAGTATCAGGATTAAGCTACCAGATCAGCTACATTAAATACACTTTGATGAATTTTAGGATGTGACTTACAGTTGCTATGAGGTTAGCTGAAGTTGCACACCTCTTCTCCCTATTTCCCTGCACGTGCTCTACCCCCTCCAAAGTCTTCCCCATAAAGAATTCCCAAGCAAACTTTTCATCTGCTGAAAAAGAAACAAACCAACATAAGCAACCCTGACTTACTGCTTCTGATTTGGGAGGCACTGGAGGTGGAGGTAGGGAAACATCCGCAGACTTTGTTGCTGCATCGACTGTCCCAGGCACAGGAAGAGACGTACTACCACACTTTGATCGGAAGGATCCTCTGTAATTGTCACATTTGTTCTTCTCACTTAGCGAGCGAGTGAGAGGCTGCTCACCAGGCTTTCCAGACCCTTGGTCCAACCACAGCTCTTCGTAAGGAAGTTCTGGTTTCGTAGGCAGAAACATGGACTCTTCACCAACCTCTGGAAAAAGGTAATCACTGCTACTGTCACCAGAATCCTGGTACTGAAGCGCATCGTGAGAAAACAGTGCCCACTCGTTACACAGGTCCCTGCAGCCGTGGAGGTTCACTTCGCTATTGCCATGCAAATTGTTGCCATAAACACACACCGACAGCCGGTGGAAGGACTGCGTGAGTTCGTCCCGTGCATAGCTGAGGGAGTTGGGCACGTGAGTGTGCCCGCTGCACCGGCTCTTCTTTGGGCTCTTGCAGTCTTCGTTCCAGTCTGTTTTCACATCGCGCACGGCCCGGGAATACTCATCTATGTCAAACTGTTCCTGGCATATATTAAACCAATGCTGGATGAGGGATTCGTGCCACAGCTCCCCCTTCACAAGACTGTCAGGTAGAGTAAATTTTGGAAGTGTCAAGTGCAAGGGAAAATGCATGGGAATAATTTTGTTGCCACGAAGCACGCAACAAACCACCACAGTTTTGGTCTGAATGTTGACAAACTTGTATCTGTGCCCTTCGCGGATAAAATGCAGGTCGTAGGGGTTTCTCGGCGTAGGGCTTGGCACAGTCACATTAACAGGCAGCCGGGTTTTTTCTACTATATTACGAATTGTGTGCTCACCTTCTTGCATCTGCACCTCCAATGGGCTGCGGGTGCTAAACTTGCCCTTACACTGGAATGGGAGACTGATGCTTTCATTGGTCCTGTGGTTCATGCAGATGAGGCAGGGCATTTTGCCTCTGCCAAGTTTGCTAATTGAATTAAGTTTACCAATTTTTTTGAAGATGGTGTTGAGTCGTGACTTCTCCTTAGAAGATTTTGCATAAAGGATTTCTGCTTGTCCCATTAAAGTGAGTTCATCCCCAGTACTAAGGGTAATGTTGTAAACCTCAGTGTCTTCATTGCATTCACCTGAAGCTACCTGCAAAACAGTAATGAAATAAATCGTTTTTACCTCGCTGAAAACAACATCACAAATCATATCAAACCTAATGAGATTGGACTTGAAGGTGGTACTTTGGGAGAAAAACACTACTTTTATTTGAACAGCTGAGTAGTCAGACACACGTGAGGTTTAATGTAAAGCTCAGTCAAGTAATCATTTTTTTACTGTTCTGTGTATTCTCTCATCTTATTAGAGGGGAAGCAGCCACTTGGGAATGACAAAGACACGAGAACAAATATAACAAGCTTTAAAATAAAGGACAACTCCCAGCAATTCAAACAACCAGTTGTGTCACACAGCTATGACAGAGCCTGTCTGGATTTGCTCAGATATCTTCTCTTCACTCCTTGTTTTTGCTGTAACTTATTTGTCAGGCTCTTAAAGGAAGCAAACATTCTTCTTCCAGCTTCATCTCCCTGAGGAGCTGAAAAGGTGATCTCATCACTGTGAATGAAACATATCCCTTTGATATAACCTCTTCACAGCTAGGGTGAATGACAGATGACATCTATTCCCTGGAGGACAAGTCAAGAATATTGGTCTATCCCACATGCCCAACTCCCTCTCTGCCTTCAGACTTCCTTCCTCATTTTTTGATCATAATTGCAATTTAAGATATTAAACAACATATGCAAAGCCATGTGTGTGCTTTTCTACTATAGAAATTGTACTGGAATTTAAAAAAAAAAAAAGAAAAAAAAAGAAAAACAGATGTCCAAGGCTCATTTATTCCTGAAGTTATTTCCTTAAGACTGGAATAACTCTTTACGCACAAGACTGTTCTGCTTTCTATTTAAATGGCTTAATGTGAAAGGCCTTTTTCAGGGACCAACCAGAACTTAATGAGCTCTTCTTCGCAGTAGCAGATACTTATTCTTAAAGGAAGGTGCCTCAGCTAACCACGGCAGGCCTGCTACAGACCACTTTGTTCAGGAATACTGAACATATTAAAAAAAAAACCTGCCAAAAATAAGCAAGAATAATATATCCCTGCCCCATCTACATGACTCCTAAAGATTCCACCTAGCTATGTGAAGTTCACATTCCAGCCTTCAGACTTTGTCACAGGACAGCCACTGCATGAAATCAGAGCTGTAATTCCAATTAGTCAGTAATTGAGAAGTGCTGTAAATAATGCTTCCTCTTGTAAGATGTGATCTGCAATTCACTTGTGTTTGTAAAGTCATTATTATCTTCTGGAAACCTCTCTCAGCAAATGGCCAGGCAGCTCAGAAGAGGTGTGCCTTCAGAGTGTTTCAGCTCAGCACTTCCTGACAGGAAGCCATTCAAGCCCTGAATTATCCAAACAAACTCTAATTGGCCTAATCCAGGAAACCACTGGGATTTTATTGTACACAGTAGTCACAGTTTATGCTGCTGGCCAGACAATATAATGAAAAGCTGCAACATGAAAAGAAAGCACTCAGATTTTTCTGCCGATAACACCAGAATGATGCTTATTGCTATTTTCTCTTCAGAACCAATGAATGCTACGTTTGCATTGCTGCTGGTGAGGCCCTGACCTTAGAGGAGCTAAGGGGGCTGAAGACACAGGACTCTGTGCATGTCCCATGTAGTCCATCACATCTCTTCTCGAAAGGGCACGTCCTATAAGAATGTGGGTTTCTATGCAAATCCCCATAAAGGACTTCTTTGGGCAACACTGTCAGACATTTAAATGTGTGACAGCATTATTACAGCTTCTTCTTACCTCCTGCACACTGGGGACAGAAGCGAGGGAGCTGTTATAATCCATGACTGCAGGAGCTGCTGCTTTGACAACCTGCAGCTTCTGAGCGATTTGTGAAAAGCCCATTCTGAAGGACAACATGGTCACTCAGATGTGCAACCACAGCAGGCACTGAGCAAGCACAGTGACACAGTGAGCCATGGTTATGAAAGCAGTTGCTGATTAGTGGCATTGAATTCAACCAATAGCACAAGGATTGTGACATCAGACAGTCACGTTTAAAGACAAAATTACTTTAAATTAAAAAAAAAATTGGAAAATGTTATTTTCTTTTCTTGGAATACAGTAGCAGTGTAATAATAGACAAAACATGGCTGAATCAAAAGAAAAACTATGCTGCTATTCTATTTTGAAACTGAGAAAAATGATGTGTGTGCCTCCTTCTGAATAAATATCTGTAAGGTACCAGTTGCTGTCTAAAATGGTAACGAATTGAAATGGTGAAACCAAAAGTCTTAGGCTGCACAACTGATTTCATTTCTACTCACAAAATCTTACTCTGGGGACATGAAGGCTGCAGGTACACCTCAGCAGGTCAAGTGTATTTTAAATTTTAAGTTCTTAAAATTCAGGTAGCTAACTCCTCTCTTGTATGAGATTAATTCTGTTATTTATTTACCTACTACTTAACATTCACAACAAGTGCATGGCAGTTAAATATTTGGGTGCAGAACATCAGCAACAAACACATACCTTGACCCACTGCCTCTACTCTTGCTACTACAGCCCCACATGCTGCTGTCTGCCCTTTCCACACCTCCAAGTCTTCCTGCCAGGTCTTTTCTGCAAGCTGTTTCCTGGACAGTCTGCCTGCTGCAGGGCTAATCCCACGGCAGGAACAGGGCTCTGTGCTCACTAACGAACCTCAGGGGGCTCCCACCAGTCCGGGAATCACAGAATATCCTGAGCTGGAAGAGACTGACAATGATCATCAAATCCAACTCCTGGCTCCACACAGGACTGCCCAAATTCAAACGTTATGTCCGAGTGTGCTGTCCAAATGCTTCTTGAGCTGTGGCACTTGGGGCTGTGACCACAGCCACGGGCAGCCTGTTCCATGCCCACCACCCTCTGCTGAAGAGCCTTTTTGTAACATCTAATCTGATCCTCCTCCTCCTGAAGCAGCTCTATGCCGTTCCCTTGGGTTCTGTTGCTGTTACCAGAGAGCAGAGCTCAGTGCCATGAGGCCTTCCTCAGCCTCCTCTGCTCTGCAAGTGAAGCAGTCAGACACAGATGCCCGCTGGTTAAAAGTTTCTAGGAACAGATTTGATTCACGCCAAAAAAGATGCTTAAAAACAAAGCGATCTAAGAGAAATCACAAATTATTTCCAAAAGTATATCACAAATTATTTCCAAATGAAATGATGACAGTGACAGGGATAAGACCATGCCCTCTATCTTCCAAGCTTCCAGCACCAGCCCAACAGGATCCATACCTTCAAGCACCACGCCATGTCTTTATACTACCACCTGAAGCATGTAACATACACTGCCTGCTGTGAAATCACTGCAGGGATGTAGCAGAACCCTGGACTATTTCAGACACTTTGAACTGCTGGCAGCACATCTCACAACATACAATTCCTGTACAAGAGAGACAACAGTGCCCTATCTCAGAGTGGCAGTTAAGGTAGCCCAGACTATAGATGGATGCAGACAGATATATGGTCTGTTTTCCCGGCAAACTGCTGGAATCTCCTCATAACTCTGGAAAATATGTAGAGTTACAAAAGGCACCAGAAAGCCTTCATTCAGCTGTATAGCACACCAGGAGGGCTGACAGATCCCAGTGTGACTCCAGCCTGCCCTGCGCTTTCCGCTCGTCTTCCCTTCCTGCTCTGCCCATATTGGAACCATGCTCTTCTCATCTCCTCAATGGCTTTACCAGGCCTGCTTTGAATCTTCAGCTATAAAAACAGGCAGTCTTGCAGCAGGATGGGAGAGCAGCTGAAGGAATGGGGAGAGGAGGAGGGAAGGAGGGAAGGTGAACACATTTTCTTCAAACCTTTCCTCAGTGGGACAGTGCACTTGTTTTAATTTTGTGTATGCTCTCTTTTTACATCTTCTGTTTAAAACACAGGTTCCACACTGGGCAATTTTAGTGCAACAGCCTGCAGCAGTAACTGCCACACATCTCAATGCCATGATAAACACTAAGTTTTATCTAATTATTAGCCTTGGGAGCATCCTGAAGTAACTCCTTCCCCAAACACATTTCTCTTCTTGTTTGTTCTCTCTTAAAGTGCTGCTTTACACATTAAAACAATCAACTCTGTAGCTTTATTCCACCCTCATCCTTCTGTCACTTTCTCATAATAGGTGAGAATAACCAGTGCTTCTAGCTCTGTGAAAGAAGCAGTGTTTGCCACACCATTCTGTAAAAAAAACCTCGCTAGATGTTCAAACTGAACATCTCCCAGTATGAGAGAAGATCCACACAATCAGAAGCAGTCTGCTTCACACTTCACACATACTGATCCATACTAACAGCTCAGTACTGATGCCAGACTGCTGACCAGAAAGGCGGCTGGCTTGCAGACATCTTGTCAAACATGGGGGGGGTTAAGGCATTCTCATGTTTTCAGCTTGCAATTCAATAACCATTCAGAAGCCAGTTATATCTACTGCAGAAGACAGGCATCAGGAAAGTGATGAATGATGATTTAGGCAACATGTTCTTTTGGGAAAATTCAAGCATATTGTAGCATATTGTTTCTTTTGCTTAAGGAAAGGTTAACTCAGAAAAATAGATTCTGATAACACCTGAGTCAATATCCTGTCTCGAGCTCCGATTGTTCTAATTTGTTACAGTTAAGAGGCAGCAGTCCTTAGTCACTTGGGCATGTAGGAACTCCTTATAAAAGTGATTTGTGGCTTCATACAACTTGTTATACCTGCTAGATCTTATTAGAGCAACGCAAGCATTGCATTGCCAGTACAAATTCATAGTTAGAACCTTTTTGAATTTTTTTTTTAAACAGTGAGGCCTCTGATGCATAGTTACTGCATACAGATCCTATTATTAAAGCCAACAGACCAACCAGAACATATATTTTTTTTTTTCCACAAAGTGTAGAAAGTGGATAAAGAGTTTTATTTAATATAAAATAGGGTATCCAGAAGGGTTGTAAGAAGAAAAAAATCATGATTTTTTTTCAAGGAACTTAACTATTTTTTCTTTTAGCCTCCTTGTTTACATAGACTTCTACCTGTGTGGAACCTCAGCACCCAACTGCAGAAACCTATTGCTGCTTCAGCAAAAGCTAGGGCCCTGGAGTAGCAAAACTTTCTTAAGATTTTTCTTCTAAGCATAGAGAGCTAAGCTTATTCTCATCATTGCAATGTAATGCTGTTATATAAACAAAATTATCTGTCACTATGAATTGAATAGTAACATGGAAAAGGCTATAAGATATCTGTTCACTGAAGAATAGACAGAATGCCCACAATTTTCTACTAGGAATAGACTAGATTTTGACTGTAGGCAATCAGCTTATCCTCAGATCACTCAGATTTACTGTGTCTGTAGATACTGCTGGCTACCAGGTACTGAGGTGACCAACAAGGTATACAAGCACAGATACATGCACAAATCAGAAGAAATTAACATAAGTAGTTCTAATCATTACAAAAATTTGGTTTAAACTCAAATTCCTGCTTGCTGTTCTGTGAAAAGTACTCAGGACTCTACCTTCTAGTCCCAGCTCTGCTTTTGATGGCATGCCTTACAACACTCCTTCAAATACAACACAGGCCCTAAATGTTCTGCCTCAGCACACTTCCCAGAAAAGCCACCTAACTGGGAAACAGTAAGGAGGGAAGGGAGATGTCTCCGTGGCCTACCTTAGGGTAAAATTATAGTAACAAGTGAAAACACACAAAGTAAAATAAAACCTCCCTCTTAGAAAAGATGTCATGGCACTTCATTATGAGAAAGCAGCCGTTCTCTAAACTTCTCTAAGCTGCAAAATACTGCCTAAGCAGCAAAGGAATTAGTTGGAGGACAACGTTTGCATGGAGTCAACCTCAGCAGTGGCACACAGCATGCTCAGACAGATCTCAACACAGACAAAATCATACAGGAACAGTCCAGTGAAATTCTGTAACGCTACCAGCTCTTTCTTCAAAACTTATCCACAGCAGTGGATTTTTTAGAATAAGAAAAAAACCCCAGACATCACAATTCCTCCTCATCTTAAGTGCTTTATTAGATATTTTAGACATGTCTTCTTTTTGTATCAGATTAACTAACTTCTGATAATCTTAATTTAAGCAAACACACTGCTTTGGATAGAAATCAACTGCATTCTTCCCTTTGCTCAAATCACTTCGACACCATCTCTCTTACAGAATCGTAGCACACGTCATTCCCTTGTGTATAGTCATTAAACACTTTTAAAAGTCCTGCTAATTCATTTTTCAGAAGATGACAACTTTGGAATAGTCTTCTATGAAACGTGAGAAACAGCCAAGAAAAATACTGCCAAGATATGTTTAACTAGGTTAAACCTGGATTATTACTACTGTTATTTACATTATAGAGTATGACTAAATTATCTTTTAAAATGTATCTGATATATATAATAGTAGGCTATGCTTAATTCTGAGTTTGCTAAATATGACAAAGAGATTGAGAATACTGGTGCTAAACTCAAGACATAATGTTTTATATTTTGAAAAGCCTTCTTCTTCCAAAAATTATAGCTGCATGTTTCACTGTGCCATGCTCTTCATTTGGATACAGATACATTGAGAAACAATGGCACAGCAGTTCTAAGATAATAATGATCTTCTCGGGTAGAAATGGAATTTTCTTGCTTCCTTCATTTGGCTAAATATATCCTAAAAATTCAAGCATTTCATTTTTCTCCTGTAGTTATCATTCCTGAAAGGCTCTGTTGCATGGTTTCAGCTTAATTAATTAATAGCACAAAAGTTAAAAAAAAAAAACAACAAAAAAACAACTTACTGTCCTGAAAGGCAAAAGTTTGTGTATCTAAATGAATTAACTAATGAGCACTTATAGTAGTCTTCAGCAATCTTGTTTCATACCTATAAAAACTGAGTCTAGCTGATGTCTCCCAACTCTAGCAGTGCAAGAAAGAGAAGAAGCCATTAAAAGATACATAGGTTATAAAAAAACCCACACTACTACACCTGGGAATGTACTATACTGGTTTTGCACTAGCAGCATCAGCCAGTCTTTTCTGTACACAATGCAAATATACACCATTGCATCCCATCTCCAGGATGCTGTTGTGCTCATTCACCAGAACTGACCTATCATGCATAGGTGTCCTGCTATGGAAAGAAAGGAAATACAGGTAAGACAAGGGAAATGAACATGCTCTATTACCATTGCTTCATACCATAGAACTGCAGTTTGGTGATGCAAAGCCCTCTTCTGGCATTGTTGTCCCAAAGATGAGCCCAAGAAGTGTGTGCACAAATACACACACACAGAACAAGGCCATATTTTCTATTTTTGTCTTTTATTCACAATGACACTTTCTGTAGTAATTTTGAGAGAAGCAACACCATCATTTCACTCTGCACACTCTCTTAATGAGGCTTTCTGGACAGGGATTTGAGCAGCTGCTGCTTACCAGAAAATAAAATTCAAACTGCTGGAAGTGGGAGGACAAAGGGGGCAACAAACAACATTTGTTTAAAGTCTGGCAGCAACATCCCAATTAGATGAATTATGGGATGCATCATCAGTACTGCTCCCTGAAGTGCCATAGGATAGGAGAGCCCTTCTAGGACGTGTTGATTTAGCACTGCAAAAATGATCCTGAAGAGCACCACCACAGAAGGCAGAACTAAAGACCCGTTTGTCTCAAAAATCACACTTCCCACACAGCGCTGTTGCTCGCTTGCCATGTATATAAAGGTTGTAACAGTTAATCACTGAGACAGAGATAAATATTTATTCAGGGACTACCTTAACGTTGAATGTTATTTCCTCCATGACGTAAACTCGTTCAGGAAATGCTTTAGCCACCTCCTCCACACTGTTAAAATACTGCACTGGCTCCTTAATATCTCGGTCTTGTTCCAGCAGCTTAAACTGCCCTGAAAACAGATGATAAACAGAAGAGTTGTAAGATATTTACATTGGACAACTGTCACTGTGGCAACTGCTGGCTCAACTTCTTCACTGTTTTCCTCGGTCAATTTTTCCGGTTATTTAGCAGCCAAAATACAAAATGAAAGACTGCAAAGAGCCTTCTGAACCTGCCATGAAGGACACACAGTTTCACTAGGGCAGAACAAAAAGAATGTGCAGGAGCTGCAAATTTTAAAAGATCCTTTTATCACATGCTGTCTAGAAACAGTAAATAACTACTGAGGCTTCTGTGTTTATGTACTTCATTTACTGTAATAGTATCTGCACAGATAACATGTTTGGCCCCTAATAATAGAAGTGTTACAGACAGAAAACACACCCAGCACTATAAAACCCCAAACAGTAAACACTTTTTTTTTGAAGTATATATTTCAGCGTCATCAAAAGGCTATGCAAGTATGTGAGGCTACAATCCTTTTCCCCCAGGCTTTCCTAACAGCGGAACAGTGTGGAACAGCATCTAGTGCTTAATTACAAGCTAAGCCCTCTGAGAACTTCAACACTGCAAGAAACAAAACCATACACATATAAAATCCTTTTGAAGGTGGTCAGCCTCAGACAAGCATTAGGAAGAATCATTTGTTGCTTTCTCCCATGTTTTCAGTGTTGTGAGAAGCAAGGGCCAACACCAAGGATTAATTGCTCTTGTACGTAACAAACACCAAGTTTAGAAGTTTGTTGTATAAATGCAGGCATAATGAAAACTCAGTCAGATATGTTGCTGTTTGTGTGACAAATCAGCAGAGCAATCTCCCCGAATTTAGCAATGTTAACTACTAACATTAACTACTACCAGGCTAAAGGATGATCTCAGTGAGAGAACAGCATAGCAAGCCTCCCTGTAAGGAGCAACTCAAGAAAACGAGTAGAAATCCAATTAAAATCTGAGATTTGTGCATCTTCTGTAAAACATATTTTAAAATTAGCAATCCACTCAGGCACTGGCTTATTGCTCACAGCGCTCAACTTCATGAAAATTCATCCAATACATGTCAGCCACCTACAGAAATATTCCCAGTCCTTCAGCACTTTTGTGCACCACACAGTTTCTCCTACATACCCCCATCAGACAGTTCAGAGGATTCACCTGTACGGAATAGCTAAAGATGCTGTCATCTCCCACGTGCTGTTTTGTGACTGTTTAATAAATTACTGCACTTCAAAATTCAGTTCTCAGTGTTTTTCTAACTCTGTGTCTGCTTCAGGACACACCATCATTTGAAGTCCAGCCAAGTCAGCCCAAGTATTTCAAAGATCAATGCTACTGTTCCTGTCGCAGGAACAGGCAAACCTTTGGTCTGACCTGGTGATGTTGTCCCTATAGTGAATCACACTGCTGTCATAGACTGCAAGAGTGGTTTCACCACATCAGACCAAAGCTCTGCCTCAGAACCTGAGGCTCAAGGACGCCCAGAGCGGAGAAAAGGTTTTAGCTTACTAGCTCTAAATTTCTACCTTATAAATTTGTTTCCTCAAGGTATCTTAAAGTTTTAACGTAAACAGACACCCAACCTGAAAAAATGTTGGCATTCTTCTTCCACAGGCTTTATAGTGCTTTCAACATTAAGAGGAGAAATTTCAGGAGTGGCAAAGCTATGCCTGCCAGACACTACAGGTAGCCATAAGAAATCTACAGCAGATGAGTATTTGAAAAGAACACCTTACATACGTAGTAGAAACATATCAGCACTGTGCAGCCCATTTTGATGTAAAGCGATCAAGGAGGAAGCATGCAACTCCATAAAACTTGCTCTGGCTAGAGAAGCTGGAAGTTGTGTTGTTGATAACGGACAGAGAGCGAGAGATAAAGGAAAAACAACTAGGCTTTTTAATCCCCCAGTCGCTACACACAGACAGTGTAGTTCTGGTTGTGAGACTTCCCTGTCAGCCACTTTCTAACTTGGAGAAAGACGCTCTTCCCAGATCTGCAGGTCCTCCTCCCTCCAGACACACAGATCTCCTATGAAGGAATTTCAGGAGAGTGCACGAACCAAGTGAAGGCAGACCTTTACCTATGTGTGCCAAGACATCACACAGCAGCAGAGATTATGCACGGCACCAGGGAGTGATAGCCTGATAGCACAGAGAAACAACCACTCTGGAGCACAGAACCAGTGACAGTATTCGACAGTATTCCACATATAGTCACTGGAGATTAGATGTTTTTACATTTGACAGAAGTTGTCACAGTGTTCCCCATGCGTTAACTACTGGATGTAGCTCACTCCTGCTTGCTTTGGAGTTGCTCTACAGGGAGCACAGTTGCCCCTCTTCAGCTAATGGCACAGCCACCTGGATGCAACTCTACTTGACTGCCCAATTTGGGATCTAGGGGTTTGATCTGTAAGATTCCCAGCTGCAGTCACTATTTGAGGCAAACTGTGATTAGAATTTATAATAGCATTTTACACTTTAAGTCCCCAGAGGAATAAACAAACAAGATTACTGCAAGTTCTAGAAACCTCAGACAGATGTGCTAAACTTAGTGGGGTTTAACACCCTTACCTACAGAATGAAGTTGAATACAATACTGCACAGAAGCTACATAATAGTTGAAAACGGTGATATATTGCGGAGATAACATTTTGCTAGTTCAGAAATAAATAGGGAAATCTTGCTCAGGAGTGGGAATTGAGCTAAGCACAATGACAGGGTATGAATTCGTATGAATAACGGAGAAGAACATCATCTTGAACAATAACATTATCTAAACAAGACTCACCCAGCACTTTGAGTGAGGTCTTTAATTCTAGGTCCTTTAGTTACTCTGTCTGGAAGTGTACTAGCATTATTTTACTATGACTGTGATGTATTTAAAATATGTAGGTCTGGTGGCAACAAAAAGTCAGTCATCCATTACAACTCAAATGTCTACAAAATAGTCCAAAATTCCTCACCACAGAATAAAAGCTTCAGGCTGTCAGCAACCAGAAGGATCTGCTAGCTACTGCAAGCTTGCACAAGTTCTTGTAAAAAAACCAAAAGCATCAGCTGAAGTATTGCTTCGGTACAAAGAGATGCTCAGAACCATCTATGTAGCTGTCTGTGTCATCCTCCCTTCAGCTAAGCTGCACAAACACAAAGCTGTCTGTGCCTTCACTGCTAATGTTCAGCAGTTCATGACGAGGCTGACTACAGAGGAGTACATACAGATCCAAAAGCACATAATAGAAGGGCAGCATTAATCTTCTCCTGTTACGAAATCAAGTATTCTGTGCATGGAAGCTGTCAGGACTGTATGTTAAAATGCTTTTCCTTTGGAATATTCTCTGGATTTTCTATAGACTTTTTTGGAATTTATTTCTTCATTGAGAAAAGCAGACTTTTCTATTGGAAGGAGAGAAAAAGGGCAGAAGAGGGGCCTGCAAGACACTTACAAGCCAGATGTCAAGTAACTAACAGAGAGGAAGCAGACAATTACTTATTATGTTCCTCCCCAGTCTCTCAAATTGCCATAAAAAAAAGAGCATAGCTGAAACACAAGTCAAATGGACATAAGTCTTGACTACAAGCTGAAATGGAATTTATTATCATTCACAATAGACAAGATTCCATCAAGAGACTTTACAAAACTGACAGCAAGCTTCAATACATTACTGTACAATTTAACTGTGCTAATCAGAAATGTGACAAAAAAAAAATGAAGAAAACCTAAAGCTACACCTTTATAGAACTATCCCCCTTTCTTGTGCTGCTACAGAAAGAATAATGAAATATTCCTCTAGTAAATCACGTTCAGAAAGATCAGAGATTCGTTATATTTGCATGGTCCACTGAGCAAGTGTGGTTACTCCTTTGCAGCCAAATGCAAGGGAGTAATGAACGACTACTGCAAGCCTTATATCTCTTTATCTCTCAGTCTGGCCTCTGGCAGACAGAGTATTGGAACAATTTCGTTCTAGTATATATTATCTACACAGATTATGAAGCCTTATTTCTGTGTGAAAGTACTTACAGCAAAGACTATAAATTCACTACTAAAGGAAATGAATCTGGAAAGATAAAATGCAGGGAAAGAATTAAACCAGGGCTCATCCCCCAGTTTATGGAGGTATTTATTAAAAATGAGTAGGAAGATCAGTCCATTCTGCCTCTTGCAAGAAGCCAAACACTTACGAGCAGGATCTGCCCTAGGTCATTAACCAGACCTTTCTGTTCCAGCCTTCTGGCTGCTTCTGCTACTTCCACTGCTCAGGCTCTTGCAAGTTTATGGAGGTACAGAACTGCAATGCATCTCATTAAAGTATTTCTGCAATGTAAGGTCTGCTGGTCTTAGCTGCAATCTCCCCTTCACACCCAAACACCTCAGCTGTTATAAATGTTCTGACTTATCTCCAAAACAAAAAAAAAAATTGGACTATTCTGTAAATAACAAGAGAAAAGTAGCTGTATATCATCAGTAGAAAACATGGAAGATCACCAAAACATCTGCTCAATTGCGTTCACTGCTAGACGTTTCCCTAAGGAGGCAGCAGTTGTATTGTCTTTCAGCAGCTTTGATTACTTAGCAAGTCTCACAAGGCAAAGTCTTGTGCTTCTTCAGAATACGCAGACAGCACAGCGGGGCAGCCAAAGTACTGCAGAGGTTTATGTTTCTTATTATTTGTTGACTGCTGACTGCACTTCAGTATTTCAAAGAATAACAGACTAGAATCAAAGAGAAAAGACTCACTGCTTCCAGATCACCACAACTTAGGAAAAAGACTATTTCTGACTTTCTGTTTTCTATGCATCAAGATGATAGGAAACAACTTTGTCTTCCACTCCAAAAGGGTAATCCTTGATATAACTGAGCAGAGTTGAATAACAGAAACCTAAAGAGTAAATAAGAAACAGTAAAGAGGGCAAACACAGGTAGCTTGCTAGATGCTAGGGAGAATGTCAGTTTATTTCCTCACTTTTCAACTCCATCAACTGTGTCATATGCAAGAGTTGTTCTTCCCTT